GGACCCATAAAGTCTGACGCGTCGCAATGGATCCAACATTTCGTGATAAATTCGCAGTTTGCGAATTTAAACCCATTTCTTCCTCATTTATCGGGGCTGTTCATTTTCACTCGTTTTTGAATGAACCAAATTCGTTCACACTTGTTGCAAATCGAAGCATTTTCATCCTAGTTCGCCGATCGATGTAAGTTTTGCTCAAATTCCTCTTATTTTTGGCGAATTTCGTGCATGTATGCAGCGTTTTATATGAAACCCAAAAATGAGTTTATGCTTTTTACTCAATTTTCATTGATTCTTTTGCCATGAAATTGCTTGTATGGGTTGTACATTGCTTTATGAGTAATTTGAGACTAGAATTGCTTGATTTGGTGAAGAAACGAGCATTTTGCCACTGTTGATCACTCTAGGTTTGTGAGTACAATGTGGCTTGTTCTTCATGATTTTGCTTGATCTTTGTGCTTAATTTGTTGCAATACTTGCTGTAAATTTGCAAGAAATTGTTTTGGTGCTCAGAATTTTTGTTGCTGTGAGAATCAAAATCATGCTCTGTTTTTGTATTTCGTACTCTGTTTTGACGAGCATAGTATCATGTTGCTAGGTGAACTTAAACACTATGGAACCTTTAATTTAATATTTATATGTCAACAATGAATAGCATGACTCGACGCCGAGGTTTCGGCTCACGCTCTCGCTCGTCTCACCAAGAGGACGAGCCCGTAGGCTAGGGTGAGGGCGCTTCTACCAGCCGGGGGTGGTCACTCCCTGAGTGGGATGAGCACACCCTGGCTTTACTATCAGGGTAATTTGAAAACCAATCCAAATTCATACACGATTGATCCAGCCATGGAGAATGAGTTGATCATCCTCCCTGTTATTAGACCAAGTATAGGGGGCCTTTAAAAGGCGTTGATAGGGGATTTGATTTTAGCCGAAAATTAATAAATGAGAGAATCACATTTGAACCACAATTGCTAGCATAATGGCGTTTGATTTGATTAAAATTTCGAATAATCAAAGTATTAGGTGTCATAGCTAATAAATATAAAATTAAACCCCCAAACTTGAGGTCTGTCTTCTAGAACAGAAGCACCATAAGCAAACATCACACATTTATCTTTTTCATTGAGAGTTTTTGTATTACAAAGTACAACAGTAGAGCAAAAAACACAAGAAATATCTTCTGAGCCATACATAAAAACAACTAGACCACTGCTAGTCCCTAATGCATCCGCTCCCTTCACAAAAGTGGGATTGGTACACCCTAGCAGACTAGAAACTACAGAAACATCAACTTTAGTTTCACTAAGAAACAAAAAGTTAGGAGCAAACTTATGTAAGAGCCAAAAAAACAAAAGGAGGGAGTTAATGTCAGTTAGACCCCGACAATTCTAAGATGTAACTGTCACGGATAAATCGGGAGCTGTGAGGGGCCAGCCGCCCAACCAAAGTGCGGCATACGTGAAACAGAAATCGAAGTGCCAGAAGGATCATTCTAATTCGAACAGGTGCTCACACTAAATGTAGCATGAAGATTATCCACCTTTTGGAATTTAACAATAGAAGTAACCCAACAATCTGTAAGGTTTCTATTGCTTTTAGTATGAGCCTTGTTTTCTTTATTGAATTCAGCATTCAAAAAACTAGTAGAAAAAGAGCGAAGAAACCCTAAGTCTGCAGCTATCGAAATATTAGAATACCTTTTTTCTGTGGGAAAGAACGTCAAAGCGGAGCTGGAAAAAAAGAATCGCCACCTTTATTGTATAAATTGAGATTCTTGGTTTAAAAAAAAAATATTGAGATTCTTGATTTTTCGACGCTTTTAAGACCATGAGGAACCAACATACCCAATAAAAGGCACCTGATCATAAGACCTGCGTGCGACGTGAAAATGAACCTTGACTACTTCGTATCTTCCGCCATACCATCTCAAGTTCAGAAAGTGTACAAGCATGTGTAGTGGGCATAGAGTGCAATCCACTAAATGAACATAGACCTGGATAGAAGGAAGAAGTAGCACCGTCATCCTTAAAAGAAAGAGTTGCGAAAAGAGAAGGAACATTAAAGTTGTATCGGAGCAAAAGAATCAGATGGCATAGAAGACTGAGTAAAGCCTTGCGCCTGAATTTGGGATTCCGAGGCAGGAGACTTTTAAGAGCAATGAGGTTTTGCTTCAACAGAGAAAATGGGAGAATGTGCAGCATAACCCGAAGGGTCACGTAAAACACTCTCCTTTAAAGTAGCAGACATACGAAACCTAGGAACAGCACTATTATTTCCAAAGTTAGTGGTAAATGGAGCATAAGGATTCCCTAACGGAATCGAATTTTCAATTATGAACCTCGTTGATAGAGGATTATGATAAGATTCCAGAGTTGTAGGTGAAACTAGCATAGTCTTCCTCTGATTCCAAGGATAAATGCAAAGGATTATTAATCAGAGAATTCTTTATGAGTAATTCCCCGTTCATCACTGTGAGGAACAAGTTTTGTTTCTCATGGGTATGTGTTAAGAGCAGAGAGGTTCACCAAAAATTCACAGGCGGTCCTCACTAGTGAAAAACAACACATTATTTTCCAAAACTCCATTGATGGGAATAAACTTAGGTTCAATATTATCATTGTTATCCTGCAACGCTATTCCCAATATCCCCACCTCCATCAATAGGAGAATCGGAACCTGAGCTATTATGGTGACCATCATCCTAGTCACTATTATTATTATTATTATTATTATTATTATTATTATTATTATTAGCATCATTCCCACCCTCATCATCGTCTGGATTATTATCATCATCAAGATAATCTTCCGGCTCCTTTAAGGGTAATTCTCTGTTTCTCATTTTGAGAAACAAGTTTTGTTGGGCTCCCACTCATGACACATACGCGGTCTCAACCAGTGAAAATTATCACATTATTTTCGAAAATGCCATTATGAGAAACAAAAGTGTTTCTCATAATGAGGAAATGGGGCTCCCTCCTCCTCTAAATCTTCATCATCATCACTATCATTGTGAAAAACGAAATTGGTAGCCAAAACAAGAAGATTCACCCTGGTGGTTACAAGCTTGAAAAGGTTTCCTAGGTTCTCTTAATCATATTTGAGTAATAGGGTTAATTATTATCACCATAAATAACAGTATAGCCTTGAGCTTCAAAGGCTTCCATGCGGGAATGAATTCGACGAGCACAAGCATAGTCAGAACGTTCACATAATTCACCGTAATGACCAGCAGCCAGCACACCCACACCTTTTACAAAACTTGAAAACACCTTCATACCTAAATAAAACTCAAATAGGATGGCCTCCTTCTCCGGGTACGAAACATCCAGGAATCATTGGTTTTGATAATTCAACCAAAACTTTGTCCTCTAAACTCAGGTACATCTGGCAAACCTTCACCATCATACTCCAATGTTTCTACTAACCCAACAAGTTGTAGAGTCTTCACAGCCCATTCAGGGTCTAGATAACCAAGAGGAAGCCCATAAACACGACATAAATGGTTTGATGTACCCAATTTACTTACGCAAAAGATTAAAATTATTGTGTCACACTAGCTCATATTTTTGTATATACGTAATTTTAGTTATTAAACACTAAATCAAGCTTTAGTCTTGTTTTCTTCAGCATAAATTAATTATAATGGTAAAGCAGCAAAGATAAATTCAGTTTATCAAAATTATTTTCAATTAAGTGAAAGTAATTAATAAGCAAAAAAATTTAAGTTTAATTAAAAATAAGTTTTATTTAGTTAAATAAGTAATTTGAAAGAACAAAAGAACAACGATGAATCTGTTAAAAAAAATAAAAAAATAACTTTATCAAAATTAATTTTAAATTGGCAAAATTAATCTAACTTAGTAAAAATAATTTAACTTTAATACGGCCTCGTTCACTTAAACTTATTTTTGCTGAATTGAAATTATTTTTATTGAACTGAAACTATTTTTGCTAAACTTAAATTATTTTTCCTAAACTAAAATTAATTTTATTAAAATGAAATTGCTTTTGTTGAACTGAAATTATTTTTACTGATTTTCTATTATGTTTATTCTTTAAAGATTCTGAATTTTACTGAACTGAACTTATTTTTACTAAATCGAAATTATTTTTGCTGAACTGAACTTATTTTTACTAAACTGATATTATTTTTACTGAACTGAACTTATTTTTACTGAACTGAAATTTCTTTTACTGAAATGAGATTATTTTTACTTAATATTATTTTTTTATGGTGAAGTGAAAGGGCCTAAAAATTAATAATGTTCGATGAAGACTTAAAACATCGTCTTAACCTGTTTTTACCTTTTTTTATATATATAGAGAATAATGTCCAACATAAGTATAAAGCAAACTTCAAAAGTAAAATAACGCACATATTTAAAATTTAAACTTAAGAAATGCAATTGAAAATACTTCCTCTATTTACTTTTATTTGTAACACAACCTTTGGTTACATTTCTTAAGGATGGAGTTGATTAGAGAAGTAAACATGCAACTTTATCAAATTAAAATAATTTTAACATCAAGAATTGAGCAAGGTTAGGGACTACATATATATATATTGATTATTTTGTTCGTTTACATTACTTAATCTCTCTCTCTCAAAGAATGAATGTGCCATTAATACGAGTTGCAGAAAAAAAAATAAAAAAATGAATAAATAATTAAATAAATATAAACGGGGAGGTTCTGCTGAAAACAGAATTTATGGTGAAAACTAAAAAACAAGCAATCTTAGCCATTGAATGTTCACTAGATAATCTGATGGTGTGAAACAACCCAGAGGTCACTATATACAAAAATAAGGTAATTATATCAAATTATATTAATTTTGATGACATTTAAACTGAGGTCACTATAAATAAAAATAAGGTAACTACATCAATTTTTACAATATTTACTTAGATGTCACTATTTACAAAAATAGGGTAATTATATCAATTTTGACCACATTTACATAAAGGTCACTATATACAAAAATAAGGTAACTATATCAATTTTGAACACATTTATACAGAGGTCACTATATATAAAAATAACGAAGGTCATTATATATAAAAATAAGGTAATTATATCAATTTTGACAACAAGTCAGCTGTGTGATTGTATAGCTGTTCGCGAACAAGCTCAGGAGCCATGTACAATGGAGTACCTGAAACAGTCAGATGCATAAAGTGAGCAAAAGTGTTAACAGTAAAATAATTTGTGAATAAAAGACCAACTTCTATAACTCCTTTTCTTTTTACATTCTTTGGACCTGATGGAGAGTTAACAAGGGTTTTGAAAATGTAAAAGAATATCATCTGAAGAGCATTAATAGAAATTAAGTCCAAAGAAATTATGTCCACAGAAATACAAGAAAAAAGTATTTCCATCAACCATAATGAACTTGGAAATTAGATTACTAGCAAAGCAAACAAATCACAAAGCTGACCTTTGATGGAGCGAAGAACAACAGTGTTCATTGACATGGCACGAGCAGATCCAAAATCACAAAGCTGGAGTAAAGATAAAAAAATATAAGATAATGCAAAGTTCAGAAAGAAAATTGGCAATACAGTCATTACTAAACATCAAATGTTACCCAATCGCCTAAACAAAAGTGATCACCCCTAGCAAGGTAAAGGGACTAGATGTCTAAAGCCTTACCCCTATGCTTACAGCTAATAAAATTATGAATTGTTTTCAATTGACCTTTAACATGAAATGCAATGACAATAAAAAGCACAAAAAATTACTGAGACATTCCAAACAAGTACATTATGAGCAAATAGTAAATCTTTGTCTCCGAATTGGACAACTATGGAGTTATAGTCATATCCATTAGACTATAAAAATATAAATATAAACTATGAAAAGCTTAGAAAATAATGATTCTTCAACAATAAATATAACTATTACCAAAAGAAAATGAGGGTGGAAATTATGGATAGCCAAAGAGCCAAAAGTAAATATCATACAAAAAGTGAAGTAAACAGATAGCTCCTGAATACCTAACCTTAACAATGGAGCCTAAACCAATAAGAATATTTTGCGGCTTCATGTCCCTGTGAATAATTCGGTTGGAATGCAAGTATGCAGTGCTCTGACCTGAAAATCAAAGTAATTGAAGCTAGATTTGAAGAAGTAGCATGAAATTGGCAGAAATTAGGAGAGAGAAAGTAGGAGAGAGAAGGTAGAGGAGGAAGAAATTAACATGCAAATGAAGGAGGAGAGAGAAAGTGTAGACATTTTGCATGAAAATTGGGGGAAAAAAATCTCGACAGTAAGATTTGATAGATCAAAAATCTACGGTTAAGGTGCCATGTTTTTAGTTTTTAGCTTAAGGATGGTTTTCACATGATTCAACTCCTATATATATATATATATATATATATATATATATATATATATATATATATATAGAGATTGGATCATGTAAAAACAAACCTTAAGCTGAAAACTGAAAACAGATGATCTAGACCATTGAATTTTTATTTTGTAATCTTGACCGTCCATTCTCTCTGCTCTATTTTTATCTTTCTTCAATCTCACGATCTCACTATTTCTCTCTCCTCCTCCCAAAAAATCATCAAATTTCAGAGGAATTTGCTTCAATCTTCATCAATAATTTGCTTCAATCTTCATCAATTTCGTCTTTAGCTTCAAAATTGAACCTGAAAAGTGAGTTTTGCGTTTCAACAATCAATTATGTGAGTTAATCATTTTCGTCGCTGAATATTCATCCCATTGAAGCGAGTTTTGAGCTTTCTCCTCCATTGAAGCGAGTTTGAGCTTTCTCGATCCTCCATTGAAGCGACTTTGAGCTTTCTTCTCCATTGAAGCGGCTTCTCAGGTAGTATTTCTTAAATTATCGACTATCAATTTCACAATCTAGGGTTTATTGCTAGTTAATTGCTCGAATGTTTTTGTTATGGAATATAAATTGTTGTTTGGATTCGAAATTTGTTGTATAGCATGCGATTTTGTGACTTTTGCTCATCAATTTTTTCGACTTTTTTTCATCAATTTTGTTCGATTTGTTTGATTTTGCAATTTCCTGTTCGATTTTGTTCGATTTCCTGTTTGATTTTGCTTGGTTTTTGTTCGTTTTCATTTGTGATTTTTGTTCAATGGCAAAAACCTAATGTTCCTGGATTACTTGATGAAGTGAGAATAGGTCAGAATGTTGTTGTCATTTCTTGTAAATTGAAATTGTGATTATCTGTGGATACTACATTCAGAAATGGAGAGGCAACAATAAAAGCCTTTGTTTCGGTTAGTTTGTCTCTTGGAGACCAGCCGCTTGCTGCTCAATTTCAGGAAATTCCTGCAGAGCTTCGGATGTCAGAAGCTGAGAGGGTTGGATGTAGGCACAAGCACTTGATATATATTTTTGTCAAAATAATGAAACCACCTAATTAACAATGCTAATTTGTATTTACTTGTTATATACTCTGGAGAGGTTGCTGGCTTTAATTGAAATGGACCAAAGCAAACCTGATTTGAAATGGATTAACGCAATTCCTATCAACAAGAACACAGTAAGTTATGGCCTTTTAATTTGAAGTTAATTAGAAAGTGAAATTAGCCTAACAGCCTTACCAAAAGATGACCATCACCTCAAGTATGACCCCACCTGTATTTGAATTGACCCTACTACTACTGCTTGAAGTTATGCTATGCCTAATAGTGGCAAAAGTTATACAGTTTATAAAGTATATAATGTATGATATTGGTTTTTGATTCACTAATGCCTAGTAATGGCAAAATTTATACAATTTATAAAGTATATAATTTATGATATTGGTGTTTGATTCACTAATGCCTAATAATGGCAAAAGTTATACAGTTTATAAAGTATATAATGCATGATATTGGTGTTTGGTTCACTAGTCCTCTTTGGCTCTGGTGGTGGCTTTCAAGATTCTTGAAACCAGAGGTCTAGGGTTCAAGGACTGGTGGAAAAACAGCTACAGAGGAAAGATACTAGATGAGGTATTACAAAACACCTTCCTTTTGATTTTTGATATAATTGTAAATTAGTGGTATGCTGAGTATTACTGTATTGCTTTACTGCCTTTTATTTTGTTGTGCAATTTTAATTTTATAAATAGTATGTCAATTACTAGCATTGCTAGATTGTTACACTGCACGGACATAATTACTTCATAGAAAAATTATCTCAGATTCTATTTCTCACAAAAGAATGAACAAAAATGAGGGTCATTTGGCTTGTTGCTAATCAATCACCCTTTCATTATTTCAGTGCAAGTTCTGTGGCAGGGAGGGTACTATTACAATGATACCAAAATCTGGCCGCTATCTAACAGGTGATGACTGTGAAGCTGGAAAGTTTGTCCGTTTGATGAGCTTTGATTGCCGGGGTTTGGAGCCAGTGGACTACTCCTTTGGTGGTGACAAGGAGGAGCAGGAGAAATTATCCGATGACAAGGAGGAGCATGAGAAATTATCTGATGACAAGGAGGCCAGAGAAGGAGAAGTTGATGATAATTACCTTACTTTTGTAAATAGTGACATCTATATAAATGTGGTCAATGTTGTCAAAATTTATATAATTACCTTATTTTCGATATAATGACCTTAGATTTATGGAAATGTTGTAAATTTTGGTTCAATCACCTTATTTTTATATATAGTGACCTTTATTTTTGTATATAGTGACCTTTATGTAAATGGTGTCAAAAACTCAGATATAGTTACTTTATTTTTGTATATAGTGACCTTAATGTAAATGTTGTAAAAATTGTTATAGTTACCCTATTTTTGTATATAGTGACTTCTATGTAAATATGGTCAAAATTGATATAATTACCCTTTTTTTGTATATAGTGACTTCTATTAATAGGATCAAAATTGATATAGTTACCCTATTTTTGTATATAGTGACAAATGTTGTAAAAATTGATATAGTTACCCTATTTTTGTATATAGTTACGTTATTTTTATATATAGTGACTCTATGTTATTTTATTTTTTTTTAAACCGTTAGATCTTGTTAGTAACAATGGATGGTTGAGATTTTCTGTTTTTAGTTTTCACCATAAGCCCTGTTTTTAGCGGAACCTCCCCGTATATATATATATATATATATATATATATATATATATATTTAGTTAGAGGTGTCAAAACCTGACCAGAATGACTTGATTCGAAAAAACTCGATTCTAATTTCGATTCGTATATATACAATAATTTAGCATGAATCAAAGTTTAAAATTACACTCGATCTGACCTAAGATAAAGCTCAAAAAGTATTTTCCATTGTTTTTTAGCTAATTTTTTTCTCGATTTGGGGATCCACCACTTTATCAACAATCATTCCACACGTAATTCATCTTGTTCATAGATGATTTATATAAACTTCCTTTTTTTTGGTAAAGATGATTTATATAAACTAAGATCACGTTATTCAACTCGTCGACAATAACTAGTGGAATTCTACAAATCGCAAGGGGAGCAGGTACTTGATTATCACGTAATTTGTCACATAAAAATTTATAAAAATGTAATCTTAATTATAATGACACATCTTGAATTTAATTTTGGCCTCATTTGGAAAATGATTGGTCGTTGGGTATTTTTATTTCTCCTAATTTAATTGACTATTTTCTTTGGTTGTTGTTTTTGATGATTGTTTGACCATTAATTGATTTTAAACTCAAGTTATTCATGTTTTAATAGATGATTTTTATAACTTCACGTCATTCATCGTACTGACAATAGTTAGTGGAATTATGCAAATATACCAATAGCAAGGGGGCAGGTTATTTATCGCAAAGTTATCACAAAAATAAAGTTGTTAAACCTTAATCTTAATTACAGTGATACGTCTTCAAATAAATTGTATGATAATGCAGTTATGTAAAAATTTGCAATGATACGGCTCGTTTTCTCATTTATGACTACATTAATATATATGTGATATAAAATTCTTAATCCTAGAATCAAAAGATATACTAGGATATTAGGAAGTAAAATACCCAAGATAATATTTTCTAACAAATATCCTAACAAATATATGATACGATATTATCTTTATATATCTAAATACCCCTCTCAAGTTGGAGCATGCGGATAAAAAATGCCAACTCGGAACGAAGAAAATCAAACTGTGATTTGCCGATAGCCTTTGTAAAAATGTCCGCAAGTTGAGATGAAGTCGAAACATGAGAAGGAGAAATCAAGCCTTCATTAATTGCATCGCGAACAAAGTGACAGTCAACCTCAATGTGCTTTGTTCGTTCATGAAAAACCAGATTCTTTGCTATCTGTAATGCCGACTCACTATCACAAAACAACTTAATTGTTTTTGGATGTTGAACACTCTGACTTAACAACAGAGATTTAAGCCAATTTAGGTCACAAGTGACCGCAGCCATGGACCTGTATTCGGCTTCTGCAGAAGACCGAGACACTATATGTTGCTTCTTTGTTTTCCACGAAATAGGTGATTTTCCTAGAAACACAAGCCAACCAGATAAGGAGCGACGATTGAGAGGACAAGTTGCCAGTCACACCAACCCTACATATTCAAATCGCAATCGGCACTTAACAAAATACCCTGACCCGGAGCGCATTTTAAATAGCAAACCACCCTAAAAGCCGCATCCCAATGCTCACTTTGTGGCTCTTGCATAAACTGGGACAACACATGAAAATAATATGCTAAATCAAGGCGAGTGGCCGCAAGGTAGATCAAACACCCCACAAGTCTACGATATGACTCCGGATCTGAAATAAAATCACTAGTAGCTAACCCAAGCTTATGATTTTGCTCTATGGGAAAACCACTTGGCTTTGCCCCCAATAAACTTGCTTCAAAGATGATATCCAACATATATTTCCATTGGCATAAAACAAACCTGCTGAACTACGGGCCACTTCTATACCCAAAAAATATTTTAAAGGGCCAAGATCCTTCATCTAGAAACAATCACTAAGATAGGCTTTAAAAATTGTAAGATCAGCGGAATCATTCTAAAAAATAATTAGATCACCAACATAAACTAAGATATTTATCTGAACATTGCCTTTAGTATATGTAGATAAAAAATAATAAGAATTAGACTAAAGAAAACCATACTGTTTCAAAGCCATTATGAGCTTTGCAAACCAACATCTATGAGCTTGTTTCAAAACATACAGTGATTTACGCAATCTGCAAACCAATGAAGGATCCGAGCTTTCAAAACCAGGTGGCAACTTCATGTAGACTTCCTCATCAAGATCACCGTGTAAGAAGGAATTATGAACATCCATTTGATGTTGCTCCCAATTTTTTGAAGCTGCAATAGCAAGAAAAGTTTGAACCGTTGTCATTTTCGCAACCAGATCAAAAGTTTTATCA